CATCTGAAAAGATTTCTGGTGAGCAGTATTGGAAGGACTTACTTTGTAGTTTCAACCTAAATAATATATTTTACTCCGCAGCCACATTAATCGAATTTCATCGAAGCAGGAACAAGAGCCAGACAAGTAAATCTACTTGTCACACCTTTTACGGACTTACCAAACAAATTTTGTTTTCTCGGCAAGCCAATAAGTGATTAAAAATCAATATACTAAAATATATTTAGATACGTATGTCTTGGTCAGAATTTGATAATATTTATTTACACAATCACATTAATATAAACAGTTAAATTAGGGACTATAAAAACTTTTTCATCCCGTTGCAACGTACGGTCAATTAATTATCTAGTACTAATGATAAAGGTTTAGAAGTATCATCGAGGCAGACAAATTTAAGGTTTGATAGTCTGCAAGATTATTACAGCAAAATATTAAGGCACATCCATCGAGGCGGGAGAAGTCTATCTTTGGCGGCACACACGTACGACAACAAATTAAACAGGAAGATCGACTAGCAGGCAGCAAGCAGCACACAAAACAGAAGCAAATAGGGGCATACTAGAAACCAAGCAAGGAAAATAGAATCAAGTAACCGGCGGCGGCGCGTTTGATTTGGCCGTGTCAGAAGCCTCCGGCGGCATCTGCAGCTTGTCGGCCAGGCTCTTGGCCCCCTTGAGCGAGAGCACGAGCCAGACGAAGGAGAGGAACTCCCCACCTTCACCCAAGCTCTTGGCGTGGAGGTAACCCCTGCACATGCTCGCCGAGTAGCAGAGCATGCCCAGCCACACCCGGTACATGAGCATCCACCGCGCCGTCGGGTCCCGTATCTCCAGCAGCTCCTTGGCGAGCTTGCATGCCTCCAGGATGTGGAAAACTTCTTGGGACGTGTCACCTTGCCCATGTCCATCGGCGGCAGCTGCTCGGTCCAGTATGCCGGCAATGAGCTCATTGACGTCCTTTTGGCCTAACTCGTCCTTGGTCTTGGACAGAGAGGAGGATTTGAGCTTCTCAACGGCTTCGGAGATGAGATGGTGCCTGCTGCCGGTCAGCAGCATCTCCGGGTTGAAGTTGAGCAGGTGCGCCATGTAGTTGGATATTGCCACCGTGCACTTGATATGAAGCCGTAATGCCGGGTCTCTCCTCTTCTGTTCTTCTTCTTCTTCTTCTTCGTACTCTTCTGCTGCTTCTTCTTCTCCTGATCCTTCAACTTTTTGTTCTGCTCCTCCCCCTCCTCCTCCTTCTGCTGCTTCTGCTCCTAATTCTGCTGTTGCTGCTGCTTCTACTCCTTGAACTTTTTCTTCTGCACCTCCTCCTCCTTCTCCTTCCTGTCTACCACCATCGTCGACCAAGGCGGCATCACCAATGTAGCGGAAGCAAAGGTCGGAGGCCATGTGCCATAGGAGGACACTCCGGTCGAACGAGACGCGCAAGCTTTCTTTTATCTCCTCGCCACAGTGCCCTTGCAGCTCCTCACTGAGAGCCCAGTTGCTGGAATCCAAGATCCTGTAACTGGCAAGGTCGCGGTCTTGTGCATCCACCAGATCTGCGATCACGGTTTGTGCCACCTTCTTGTACAACTGACCAAGTTGAGGCCTGCAAGAAAGACATCCCCCATTGCAGTTGAACCCCATGCGCCTGGCGCACTTTATATCCATCCGATGCTCTTGTCGCCCTCCCAAAGCGCCGCGTCGACGAGGTTATAGCCAGGTACCGTCTCGCACAAGGCCGGGACCTTTGTCATGGACATGAACCGGTACAACAGCTGCCGGATGAACACCGCCAGGACATCCAGCGCTGCCGTGAGGCACAGGACGATGTAGGTTATCTTCACGTCGGCGCGCCGATACGGGTGCTTGTCGCTCGCCGCGAATAGTGCCAGGGCGGCCATGTGAAGGACAGGGACCACCAGCAGGTGGTAGAGCAGGTAGAGAGGAGTGACAACTACGGTAGCTCTGGTGTAGATGAAGGCGAATGCACTGCGCAGCCAGCGCGGCAAGGCCTTCTCGGCGACGGGTAGAGGAGGCAGAACATCCTCCACCTTGCCAGCCTTGTTTCGTGACACCAGGTCCTTGGCAGCAGCTAGCAGTGACATGTCCGAAAGTACCATCAAGACCTTGTCTGCCTCCGTCAGGGCCACCACCGGTGGTTTTTGCTCCTTCCCGCCGGCTCCTTCTTCCCCGCCGCCGCCACTGCTTTGTGTGGGCATCCCGGTGAAGCAGTTGCTCTCCTCGAACAAGAAGAACTGGTTGACGCGCTTCCTCCACTTGGAAGGCTTCTTGGTTCCTTGCACCCAGGCCGACACAGCCGCCAGCCTCTTGATCTTGGCCCTGTTGAGGGCCAACGGCTTCTCGCTGAAGCTGAGGACACCGACGACGAAGAGAAGGACCGCCGCCGCCAGTAGCTTCCAGTCACTGGAGCTGCGCCACGACTTGCAGAAGGCGTAGAGTGCGACCGCGACCTGTGATACCAGGGTCACGGTGTGCCTCGTCCACAGCTCGTTGTCCTCGATCTCGTAGCCGGTCATCTCCTGCTGGCCGCCGAGGTGGATGAGGAGGACAGGGGCCCAGAGGACCTCCAGGGCGCGCGACAGCTCGACGCCGCCGCAGTTGCTGCCCCTGGCGTGGCGGTTGAAGAGGGTGGCGAGCGCGTAGATGGCCAGCGCGTCGCTGGATATGTAGGCGAGCCAGATGCACGTCCGGATGACGCGCGGGATGGTGTACTTGCGCATGGGCGCGGCCAGCAGGAGGAACCACTGCAGGCCCAGGCTGCCCAGCACCAGGATGCGCAGCTGCCAGTCGTCCCACCAACGCACAACGCTCCAGATATCAGACATATGATCTCTCTCTGTGTGTGTGTGTGTGTGTGTTTTACCGCTCCAATCACTCGAGGTACGTACTGGACTGAGGGCACTGAAACAAGAGTGTAGCTAGTTTCAAGGGTTGGCATTCCATCTTATTTGCGTCGTGCATGCATGCACGCATCTTGTCAAAGCCAAAAGAAAAAGGATAAAGGGAATGCTACGTAAAACATAAAGTCGACCAAGCCAGGTGCCATGATACATGTGATACCGTGGATACAGTGTGATACTGTGCCATGATACTCCCGGCCCAGGGTGCATGCCCCTTTGCGTGTCCACGGTCATATTCTACGGCCACGATACATGGATACTGTAGATACGCTGTAGAAACAAGGCTGCATGCAGTCTGGGGTGTGGCTTTGCGTGTTAAGTAACATTCGAAGCCCCACACGCGCGTTAGCCAGAGATGATGCATGTGCACTCATCTTCACTTTATTGATTCGGACTCCAAACTTACCACTAGACACATATGGTAAGCAATCCAAACTATTCAAAAAGATCGGGGCACGAAAACTTTACATGTACTTGCACTGCGCCTTATTGGGCACGAATAGTTTAAATTTGTTTTTTTTTAAATTTGTGTGAATCACTAATTTTTGAATAACTTTACTATAAAAATAGATTATTGAGTGATTCTTTTTCCTGCTATTTAATATTACCGTGTTTTATCATTATATTCAAAAACATATTTTTGTTATTTTAGTTTCTAACAAAAAATTTCTTTATGAAAATTCTTTTTTCTTTTAATGTTTTGAACCGAAAATACTTTGATAATTTTAGTTGCATATATTTTATATAATTTTAGTTTCAATAATACTAGAGGTTTATAAAACTTTGATTTTATTTTTACTTATTTATTAAAATTTATTTTGTTTCTACTTATTTTTATTTTATTTTTTGCTTTATTTATTTATTTTATGAAAATTCTTTTTTTTTGCTTTTTTTATTTTATTTTATTTCTACTTACTGTTGCTATTTTTATTTATTTTAATATATTTTTTTTATTTTAAACTTTTCAAGTTTATTTTGTTTCTACTTATTTATTTTCTTTTCTTTTTTTATTTTTTTTATTTTATGAAAATTCTTTTTGCTTTTAATGTTTTACACACAGAAGCCCTGTCCCCTGGCCGGTTCATTGGTCCCGGTTCGTGCCCTGAACCGGTTCTAAAGACCAACCTTTGGTCCCGGTTCAAGGTACCAACCGGAAACAATGGTGGTGGTCCAGGAGCGAGGCCCATTGGTCCTGGATCGTCCCACTAACTGGGACCAAAGGGGCAGACGAACCGGGACCAATGCCCCCACGAGGCCCGGGCAGGCCCCTGGCCTCACGAACCGGGACTACTGGGTTTATCTGGCCCGGACGTATGCCATGTTTTCTACTAGTGTACTATAACAAGTTTGGCATGCTCCAGTGCTTGTAGTCGTCGGGTGATGAAGACGGCGGGCCTTCGGCTTGCCCCAGTGCTTGTACTCGTCGCTAGGTTGTGTACCGATATTGATGTGATTTTTATTATTTATGCATTCTTTGTACTGCCATGGCAGAAAAAAAGCTTCAGTTTCTTGTACTGTACGTACATTAAAATGAATAAGAGGAACATACGAGATTTCGGCCTAATGGTTTATGGAGTCTACTGGGCTCAAGCGACCACCAAGAAGAAGATCGGTTGTCAAGGTGAGCTGTGCTTCAACTTGGGCCCAAGCGAAAACGAAAGTGGGTGACCAAGTCCAGTCAAGCGAATTCGGTGTAGTCTGCCATTTGGCAACTCACCAACATCACTCGCTCGTAACAATTAAATTGCCGGCCATCGATAAGAAGACGATGATATGACGCACACGGCACACAACGCAGCTAGAAGTGCATATCCGCGGGCGACGACGATGATTCCGGCGGCCGCGCACATGGTGTCACTACTGCTGCTGCTGCTGGTGGCCGTACGAGGCACAGGGCCGCCGGCGAGCTGCCCGACCAGCTGTGGCGGCGTGAGCGTGCCATACCCGTTCGGCGTCGGCGACGGCTGCTACTGGCCGGGATTCAACCTCACCTGTCACTGGGCGCGGGGCCGAGAGCGGTTGCTCATCGGCGGCGCGCGGTACCCTCGAGGTTGTGGAGATCTCGCTGGCCAACTCCACGGTACGCGTCATGGACACCGCGGGCGCCGTGAACATCACCTTACATAGTGTGGCAGGCGGCCACGGTACGTGGGGCAGCCTGGGCGCCGGCGCCAGCGGCGGCCCCTACGTGGTGTCGGAGAGGCACAGCGTGCTCGTCGTCACGGGGTGCAACGTGCAGGCCACGCTGGTGGGCGACCTGGTCGGCAACGTCATCACCGGCTGCTCCTCATTCTGCTCCATCTACGACACGTGGAGCAGCGCCGTCACGAAGTACGACGGCGAAGCGTGCTCCGGCATCGGCTGCTGCGAGACTCCCATCCCCATCGGCTGGCCCTCCTACGGCGTTCGGTTCACGTGGCAGGACCCGAACCACGAGTCCGACAGCAAGCTGCCCGTCGCGGTGCGCGTCGCAGAGCGAGGATGGCTCGACAGCGCATCCACCATGCTCCTCAACTACTCCTCCGGCGATTCGTCGTGCCGGATGCCGATCCCCGTCGTTCTCGGGTTTGCGCTGGATTCGAAGCCGGTGGTGCTTCAGGGAGTGGCGACGTCTGGCTGTCCTAAGGATGTTTCTCGTAGCGCATGCCGCAGCAGCCTCGGGTCCTGCCGCAACGTCACCGGCCACTATCGCAGCGGATACGTGTGCCACTGCCATGACGGGTATCAGGGCAACCCTTACATTGTGGGTGGATGCCAAGACATCGACGGGTGCGCGCTGCCGGTCTCGTGCTACGGCGAGTGCACCAACACTGACGGAGGGTACCTCTGCCGGTGCCCGAGCGGCGCCCGTGGCGACCCCCGGATCAAAGATGGCTGCGTCAAATCTTCCCTAGGTGAGTCGTCAACCTGTACACGTAGTAGTTTTTTTAGCATTTTTCTTCGTAAATTTAGGATGTTTATAATTCGTACGTATTTTGGTCTGCGTATATTCACAGATCTATCTCAAGTTCTCATAAGCGCGACATATTTTCCCTCACGTTTTTCAGGTTTAAGCGTCGGCATAGGAATTAGCAGTGGCGCTGGCTTTCTACTCATGGTACTTGCTACAATTTTTGTGGCCCAGAAGCTGAAGCATAGGAGGGCAAAATTGTTGAGGCCGAAATTCTTTAGGAAAAACAGGGGATACCTTCTGCAGAAATTGGTGTCACAAAAGGCGGACATCTCGGAGAGGATGATCGCCCCCTTGATGGAGATGGAAAAGGCCACAAACAATTTCGACAAAGCTCGCGAGATTGGCGGAGGAGTGCACGGCATCGTGTACAAAGGAATCATGTCAGACTTGCACGTGGTGGCGATCAAGAAGTCCAAAGTCACAGTCCAGAGAGAGATCGATGAGTTCGTCAACGAGGTAGCCATCCTCTCACAGATCAACCATCGAAACGTCGTGAAGCTCTTCGGGTGCTGCCTCGAGACGGAGGTACCGTTGCTGGTGTATGAATTCATTTCAAATGGGACTCTTCACCATCATCTTCACGTGGAACACACCGAAACATTGTTGGCATGGGTGGATCGATTGAGGATAGCCACAGAGACCGCGAGAGCTCTTGCATACCTTCACTCAGCCGTGTCAATCCCTGTAGTCCACAGGGATATCAAATCTCAGAACATTCTATTAGATGGCACTCTCGTAGCAAAGGTGTCTGATTTTGGAGCTTCAAGGTGCATGCCAGTCGGTCAAACAGGGGATGCAACTGTCATCCAAGGGACATTTGGGTACCTATACCCCATGTACTACTACTCGGGAAAGCTCACCGAGAAGAGTGACGTTTATAGCTTTGGGGTTCTCCTCATGGAGCTGCTAACCAGGGAGAAACCATGCTCATATCGATCGTTCGAGGAAAAAAGCCTAGCCATATATTTCACCACTTTGCTCACAACAAGCAACCTAGTCTGTGTGTTAGATCCTCAAGTTGTGGTGGAAGGGGGCAAGGATGTTGAAGCGATAGCTATGTTGGCCGCGGCATGTGTGAGGATGGAAGGAGACCACCGGCCGACCATGAGGAAAGTGGAGATGACACTCGAGAGCCTTCAACTACACCATGAAAATGCCGTAATATGTGATATGGATGCACCAAGCTATGCAGTGGTGACTGAGGGTACAAGCATGGAGAAGGTGAGCAGACAATATAGTTTGGAAGAAGAGTATTTGTTGTCATCAAGATACCCTAGATAGTGAATGTATTTATGCGTGATTTATTTTAATTAGAAAAGTTAGGATTTCTTAATAGAAAATAATGAAGGATCAGAAGCCTTTTTTTGCTTTCGTTCTTCACTTTTCTCGTAATGGAAAATGATGTTTTTATTAAAAACATCGCTAGTAGTTGCCTCAAAAGTCAAATTTAACAGAAAAACAATCGTTTTGTGGGATTAGACACTAGCTAGCAGATCCCCTAAACCATTAGTCCCAAAAAAATGATGACTTCTGTCCCTCAAAATTTTTCGTCACATGACTAAATTTAGTCAAATGAGAGCAACTCTCACCCCGTCGACGGCTCGATATTCAGGAAATAGAACCCCCACCGCTCCGCTCCCCCCGCACCTCCGGCGATCATAGTCGGTCGCGAGGAATTTCATGAATCACCTTGTCGTCACCCAAGAAGTCTGCCATGTGAGACCAGTCACGCCCCGTCGCTAATTACCGACCAACTGAGCTCACGGTCACCACCTCATTGCATCGTGGGTTACGTGTCACGGCGGCGACCCGTGCAGTGACGACGTTGTCATCGAGCAGTGGCTCCATGAGCCCTTGCACGAGCTCGTACTTGCGGGAGGCGATGGGCAGCCAACGCGCTACCTAAAGCACTTGCCTCCCTGTGTGGCTGTGTCGACGAACGATGAGGAGCGGGTGAGGTGTCTCGACGCAGTGCTTCTTCAGCGCGGGGCAGAGCTTTGTCGTCGCGGTGGTCGCCGAGAGGGTCTTACCTTGAGATACCCATCAAATTTAATGAGGACTATGAACTCCCTAATAGTTTCCTAGATATTGAGGCTATGCAACTGCAAAGTCACGTATTTATTGAATATGAAACGAGTGAATATCGGTACAAATTAGCCTTTGACATGTACCACTTTGTTACTATTACCCTGCCTTCTTTATTTGATCGACAGGTTTAACAGAGATATTATGTCACCATAGAGCAAGCCGAGACGCATGAGGCAACGGAGGAAACCGCCCGTCTTGATTTCTACCCACACCGTCAGTAGGCATCGGCTAAGCTAGGCCAAAAGCATAAGCTTGGAGGAATACGTATTGTCATCTACATTTAATTGATGTTATCATATTCATTACACTTGTTGGTGTTTGTCGTTTTCTTCGTATATCCATGTTTTGCTTTTATTTGTATTCTTTTGTGTGCTTGTTAAAATTTTGAAAAAACCCAAAAACGTTTCTTGTTTCTTTTTGTTTTTTCTTTCTTTTGTTTGTTTTGATTTGTTAAAAAAGAATAACTAAAAACTCCAAAAATATTTCAGTGCGCTTCTCTGTTTTCTTCTTTTATCGTTTGTTTGGAGTTCTTCGATATATATATTTTCACGCTTTCAGTTTTTCTTTCTTTCATTTATTCGCTTTATTCAGAAAAATTAAAAACTCTAAAACTATTTTAGTGTGTTTCTGTGTACTCTTTTTGTTTGATAAAATTATTCAGAAAAGAAAAAAACCTCTAGTTTCTCTTTTGTTTGTTCTTGGTTGTTTCTTTTTGCTCTTTTCTTTTAGTCGTTTCTCGTAAAATTTTCTTGCAACTTATTGAGTCTTATTTCAAAAGAAGACATTGTAAAGAATTTTCAATTGGCTCTTATGTGCTTCATTATTGATCTAATGAAAGACCAAATATTTCTTGTCATTTTCCATGCAAATAGTGTTTGCAGATTTCAGCTTACTCTAAAACTCACTTGCACTATATTGTATTTTTGATATCATTCGGTTGTGCAACTGTAAGGCAATAATGACGATGATTTGATGAAGTGGTCATGGTGAAGAAGAGCTGGTATGACCTCTACTTATTTTTGTTTTCATAAATATGTCTAACTCAGTCCTGATTTAAAATCTTCAAGACGTAATTTTATACTATTTTTTATGTTTCTCTTATCTGTTTCCTTCTGGATTTTCCTTTTACATTTTTTTATTTTTTTCCAAACACATATAGACTTTTGCAATACACATGTACGTGCGTAATATTTTTTTGATAGACGTTCAACATTTCTCAAATACATGATGAATACTTTTTTGATACATATTCAAAAATAATTCAAATATATGTTAAACATTTTAAATATGCCCTGAACATTTAATGAGTGGCACAAAACATTAAATAAAAACGTTAATATTTCCATTACACTGTATAAACCTTTCTAAAAATTTCACCAACATATTCTTCATATGTGTGTACATTTCTAAAAAAATATACGAGCAACAATGTACAATATTTTTTAGAAAAATGTGAGGAACGTTTGCTTAATGGTACAAAACATATATAAACATACATGAACACTTTATTAAATGTCATGGACATTTTTTGAAGCACATGGTCATTTTTCAAATGTCACAAACAGTTTTTAATGCTATTATTGCTTGAATATTATTGTTTATACTACACTAATATTTTTTTAAATGTGTGATGAACCATTAACAAATTGAAGTAAATTAATTTTAAAATGTGTGAAGGAGGCGTTTGGCGCGGCTGTGGCGGCTCACTCGGTCGCCCCCCTCGCTCGCCAGGATTTGGGTGTTGTGGCACTTACTACTGCGGCGGTGCCTGGCCAATCCGATGCCCTCGCCGCTCCTGTGGCTCTGGGAGCAGAGGCGCACGGTGCGGCAGCACCAGGCTGGAGGTGGCTCATGTTCAGCGCCGTCAAGACTAGAGGAAGAGGAGACGATTGAAGGACTGGGGTTTCTTCCTGCCTGCTGTTATGCTAGTGTGTTTATTTGGTCTATGGCTTAACAATGCTAAGGTGCAAGAGGTTTTGGACTGCTAGCTAGATGAACTTCTATGCATCTGTTCTGTTTGACAAGGACAAGGTATTTCAGCATCGTCAAATTCCTCATGTGGATATGGAGTCCATTCCGTGCTTCCAACCAGTACTGAATGTTCGAAGCTGGACTCCTCAGTTCCTGTGCTGATATATGTGACAGGAATGAAGAGCTAATTCTTCAGTTCTATGCAACTCTGCACCTCACTGGCAATGTGGCTGATATCAATTCATGGGCGCTTGACTGGATGACTGAAAACACTCACTATAAAGCTCCGGCCTCTGAATTGCTTCATGTCATGCCTGTCAATCCTCCTACTGAAGGCGCAAGGCTAATCTATGAAGAACCTGAACTTCGAAATCATCTTATGCAAGTGCTGATGAAGCATTTGCGGCCAGGCCAAGCTCCAAGAAGAACCTTCCTAGTGAAGGATTTGTTGTATGTGCCAAGGACAATATACCGCATCTTGACCAAAACCCTCATTCCAATCAAATGCCGCAATTTTGAAGAAGAAGAAGAAGTTGTTGGCATCATGAAGAATTTGCTGTTCGACATCATACATGGGATTCCCATTAACTATCATGATTTCTTCATGAGGACTTTGGCATATGTTGCACTGTCACCACTTGAATTGAAGTCCTATGCTCCTTATATTATGAAATTTATCAGAACCAGGTGTTCAATCCCATACAAGGCTGACTTTCAGAATCACCTCAGCTTTCTGCCTCCTATTGAAGTCCTCAAATGCACTATTTCCTCAGCTGATGAAACAGGCGAAGCTGATGTTATCGATGAAGGCACTCATCCATTGGATGGTCAATTCTGTAAGGCTGCATCTTACTCCACCAATGACGACTCTACTACTCAAGATTCTGCTAGATCCCATGAGAAAAATCCTGAAGCCACTGCCCCACGAGTGATGACTGAGCGTGAGCTTCTTCTAAGTCTTCAACAGAAGGTCGATTGCAATCACAAGTGGGTCAAACATCAATTTGGCTCAATTCTTCAGAACATGTCTGTCACTCAAAACACTATGAAGAGGAATCATTACTACGTGCATGAAATATTTGATCGCACTTGGGCCATACTTTCTCATCTTTAAAGTGATGAAGATCTCAAGAAGATGGAATTTCAACAGGAGCTTGACTGGTCTCATCCTCCTTCGAAGAAATTCAAGAATGTCAAAGTTCCTTAATTGGTCACAGCTCATTTTCTTCATCGCGTGAGACGGATAAAGCCGAGGATCTCAACGACACTGTCGTAGGCCCTACAACGACAAACAACCCCCACAACACTGGCGCTCCTCCACCGACCTCAAGATGATATTCTACAGGGGCGTTAGTCCTCAAGTTTCATACCTTTTGGTAATTTAATGACAAAGGGGGATAAATTTGAGATAGTCTTCAAGCAGGTCTTATATATAGGATATTTTTTTGTTAAGTTACAACTCGCGCTCTTCTGAAGTGTTTGTTGGTTGAGCTGTAAACTTAAGTCCGATGGTGGTCTGATACTTTTGAACTACTTTCTGCATGCTTATTTCCTCAAGTACCTTAATGCACGCATCCTTAATTTCGGCAGACACCATTTTCCATCATGCATTCAAAATTCTTCATATTATATGTTAAATGCGTGAATGGATTATAAGATATAGGGGAGATCTCCATGATGTTATTCTACAATGTGCATTTGCAATCCAAAGCAAATTCCTCAAATATGCACACATTCAGGGGGAGTTCTTCTATATCTTGCAATGAAATTCCTCAATATCAGTATTTACACTTCATATGTTTATCTCCATTGAAAACTTAATCTATTTGTCATCAATCACCAAAAAGGGGACATTGTAAGTGCATCTAGTGCCCTTTAGTGATTTTGGTGTATTCAACACTTATAGGTTAAAGGACTAATGTGTTTGTGAGTGTAGACATGTCTAATAAGTCTATGAGGAGTTTGATATTTCCGAAGAAAGTCGACCCCTGAAAATGAATATCTTCATCTGAAGACTTTGAAAATGAAGAAATTGGTGTGACCTTGAAGATATTGATACTGACGCGAGGATTATGAAGCGTGAAGACTTTTGTTTTCATAGTTTCATTTTCCTTTGTTGAGTCATAGGAAACACCGTATTGTTAAAGGGGGTTGAGGTAAAACTAAGGAAAAGTTTCCAAGTGATGCTCATCTCAAAGCCTACACATACCCAATCCTTCTAG